CTTCTTCTTCTTCTTCTTCTTCTTCTTCTTCTTCTTCTTCTTCTTCTTCTTCTTCTTCTTCTTCTTCTTCTTCTTCTTCTTCTTCTTCTTCTTCTTCTTCTTCTTTCTTCTTTCTTCTTTCTTCTTCTTCTTTTTTTTCCTCTGAGATAGGGTCTCACTGTCTAGCCCACGCTGGTCTCGAATTTACAGTGATCCTCCTGCCTCAGCCTTCCAAGTACTGGGATTATAGGAATGTTCCGTGATGCCTAGCTCAGCATGTTTTTCTTTTTCTTTTTTTTTTTTTTTAAGAGTAGGAAAATTTATTGGGGAATAAGAATGGGGAATAGAAACAGCTCCTGAGAGACAGGAGGGGTCCTGAATGAATTGCCAAAGAGCCTACTTCTCCAAGAAAGTTTTATAGAGCAAAATCAGAAGGTGGGTATAATGTAAGTCAAAACTATAATCGACCAATAAAATTACAAGTATAGCTGCTTAGGTAATGTTGATCCAGTAGTGGGAAAAGAATATGGATGACATAAACCTTGGCTGATAATCTATAGCTTTAATCTTGTCTTCAACCTCAGCCTTAGCTTTAGTAGTTTTAGTCTTAGTGGGTGGGAAAAGATGGCCATCCTGCCCCTAATGAGATAATGATTTATTAACACAGGAAATCTCAAGAGTGGACCAGTAATCTTAAACTTCTGCTTATCCCTTAGGGAAGAAGGTGAACTGGCCATTGTGACTTTAATCTGCTTTAAACGCACCTCCAGCCATAGTTCTGAAGTGTTCTCATCTTCTGCACTGACTTCCTCAAGGGCCTAGCTCTGTCTGAGTGCCTGTAATATTTCTACCTAACTTAGCTGTCTACAATATTCCCCCGCTGAACAGGTACCCCTAACTGTCATTAGGGAGAATGGACGTAGTTTCCATCTAGCTGCTTTGAGCTGAGAAAGGTTGATGTAGGTGGCCCAGTCCTCTTGACATCATACTGATGGCAAAATAAAATTAGACTTGCCTCTGCTCACCTTAGTTGTCATACCCAGCCACCATGTGGGTCTGACGATAAAAATTTGCCATACCTACACCTTGGGGCTTACCCACAGAAACAGTAAAAAAAACCCTCAAACAGCCAGTAAGAAGAGCTGGCCTTCAGAAGCCTGAAGAGGACCCTGGAGTTTGAGGGTCTCTTCGCCTCCTTCTGTGACAGGCGGATCGTCCTTTACCTCATCAAGGAGCCATGTTGTGGTGTTGTGACAGGCGTCGCTGTGTGACAGCAGCTCCATCTGCTAGTCAGCCAGAGCGGAAGAGCCAGCAGGAGTGTGTCATCACGTGTGTCTGTGTCCCAGCCATCTCCTCGTGTTAGTGTCCTGGTGACAGTTTCCATTTCCTCTGGCTGGCACCTCTACTTTCTGTTCATTACCTCTTCTGCTCCCTTCTTTATCTTCCTCCTCCTCTCCTGTATTAAAATCCTATATTTTGAATCAGCTGAGTCTCCTGGGGGTGGGGATGGTGGTGTCATTGCCAAGTGATTCATCTGGCTGATAATTAGAGCCCTGGAAAACCCAGAATTCATTCTTGTCAGAGTCAGGGCTTCCGGAATCCCAAGGCTTCTCTCTTTATCAAAGAGAGGAGTATGAAGGGCTGGGTCCTGGCTTCTCCAAGTCTGTCTGTCTTTTGGCTACCCACTTCACTGAGACTCTGCCACTAAGGCAACACTTTCTAGGTCCTGAGAAGCGGTTTTCATAACTTACTGAGTCCTCACAATGATGCTATGAAGAGTCATTTCTGTCTGGACAGCAGGAAGTTCTGGGAACTTACACTTAGTTATCTAGCCTGTAAGTGACACAGGAGGGATTTAAATTCTAGCTTTTAGAAATCCACCAAACTGGGTTCAAAGCACAATCCCGCCATTATTAGCTGTGTGCCTCTGGACAGGTTACTTTCCCTTTCTGAGCCTTCCTTATCTGTATACAGATGCCTAATGCTGATGTCTCCAAAGTCCTTACCACACTGGGTGGCACAACAGTGGGAAATGCTCTGATTACTGTTACTCAGCCCTGTAAGCAGTTTAATAGGCACTAGGCATTCAGGGAGACAATGAAAAGGAAAGTGGTGGTGGGCAGCCAAGACCTCCCTCAGATCAGCCCTCATGTTCAGGTCCTATCTGTGGGGACGTGGTCATTACCTCTTTTCCTTCTTTCTTTCTCTTCTTCTTCCTTCCTTCGTTAAAATCCTGTATTTTAAATCAGCTGAGAGTCTGCCGGGGTTGGAGATGGCAGTGTCATTGCACATACACGTGCCTGGCCATGCACCCTGAAACCCAGCAGTGCACACAGGCTTGGATATAGCTTGGATACCAGGGGACTGCTGAAAAGACAGCTGAGAGTTAAAGAGACAAGCAGCAAGCATCCCAGCTCATTTTTCAGAGACAAAGGAGTGGGGCTATGGCCGCTGGTGCTGCCGTCACGTCACTGAGTCCTTCTAGCTACTTCTGCATGCCAGGGGAGAGAACTCAGGCTCTCAGAGGGCCCAAAGTGAGTCACCAGCCTGATGCAATCCCTTTAAAGGGCTCATCTGCGGGTGCAAGAAGCTGATTCATGGAGGGCGTGGCTGTTGGAGGAGGAGAAAGGGACTGAAACTGTGGCAGGAGGGACTTGGTTAGGTGACTGAAATCATTAATGGGAACTCTTTCCTGTAAACCTCCCTGGTCAGAACTACAGGAATCTCCAAGTTGAAGCTGGCCATCCTTGGGGTTTCTAAAGAAGGGCCTACAGAGGGAAATGAACTACAGAGTTACGATAGGAATTCCTGCCTTTTATTGAGCCTAACTGCAGAGCTTCCCGCACAGAGTTCCAGAATCCAAGAAACAGGCATCTAGGAAGTATCGCTTTTCTGATAAATAAACGACGGCTGGCCGATTTCCAGCGGCTGGAGAGTTCAACCTCAGCAGAGAGTAGGACTGCCCGTAAGGTTCTGGGTCTTCAAGGTGGGGCGGTACCTCCGTCCCAGCCTCATGGCAGACATCGATTAACGGTAAGTGCCGCCCTCCTAGGTCTCGGCCTCCAATAGTTCCACAGCTTTTGTCCCACGCCTCACTTTGAACCAATCCTCAATCTGATTCTGGCCTCTTGCCTGAAGGCTTCCGCCCAGTGTCAAGATGGCGTCCCAACCCGAGGGATGTGGGCCCTTAGACGCAGTGAGGGGAGTGTCGGAGGGCGGCGCTGTGGCTGGGAGGGGGCGGTGCGTCAC